TATTCTATTCTATTCTATTCTATTCTATTCTATTCTATTCTATTCTATTCTATAATATTACAGGCTGTAAATAAGCGATATAGAGACAAAGGCTTCTAATGCTATGGAACATTCATAAAATGAAGTAATAAAGCCCCCCCCTCCCGTTTATTTTCAGTGATTGTAATTCATTTTAGAAGAGAGGACTATTTAGTAAGCACAAAAGTCCTTAATTCCATAATGGTATATATACTAGACACACAAGCAATCACAGTTACTTGTCTATCTATATTGGATTTGATATTAAAAACACCTGCATATTCTGTTATTTATGTATTCAGTACTTCTCTTCTTCCCCTACCCGCCCCAATTGTATTTTTATCTCTCTGAAGAAGTGAATATGTAGACTTCATCTGTAAATGAAAGTCAAAGTATTATCAAGTCAGGTGTGTTATGATTATATCCGTATTAGTTCAGGAGCCATCTTCCGTAACTAGCTACTGGGATGTTTTTCAAGTTCCGAGTCTTGCCTATGGTCATGTATTCCCTGATAGTCTTCCATCTAAACATACAGTAGTCTCAATCCTCTTAATTTCCAATCCCAGACAGAGTAGCCAAGTACTACCATCTGCTGAGATTCCTCTAATCTCCAGCCCCAGAGAGCCCTTTTTTAATTTAATGTCAATTTCTTAACAGGTGCTATGCTTTGGGCACCATTGATGTCAATCCCTGTTGCAGCTGTAGACAGCATTTATATCATTCAGCTCCAGGACAATTTCAGCTCATAATAAATAGAAAATGTTTTCAGGTTAGCATTCCCATCACATGCTGATAGAAATAAGGGTTAGGCTGGACAATTTGCTAAGCTTTCAACAATTGTAAAAGTGTACTTTTCCTAGAAAGGTTTACAAGTGAAGGTTATGTGGCTACTCTCCTAATTTACTTGATCCCTTGACATTAATACAAAACATTTTTCTGTTATTATATTTAAAATATAGTAGTTTTTACAATCACATGGTCAATTCCATTGGATTGTACTATTAACACAGAACAGTCATATTTATCAATATGACATGATTGAAAAAATGACCACAAATTTGTGAAGTAATATTTTTTCCAGTACTGGAGGATTGCACTAGAGATTCAACTTAGAGCTCTGACGAATTATTAAATTTTGGAAGGTGCAACTTTATAATGTTTTGTAGCATGGTACAGATAAAATTAACATTTTTTAAAAAGTGGCAGGAGAAAATAACCTCTCAATTCAAGGTAATGATCTAAGAACATTTTTCTGTGTTATCTTAGTTTAAGATAGGTTTTCCAGTGTAATTTATTAAGTATCAAAAACATGAATAAAAAGTAAAAAGGAGACAAAAAGCAATATAAAAGTGCAAAAAAAGAAGAAAGTAAAGGAAAAATGTCTTTCAATTTAAAGAAAATACCAAATTTAAAATTAACAGTAGTCTATATTACTTCTACAATCACATACAATTCTAATCATCAAATCCCGAAATCAAAATTACATATCTCTTATTTTAGAAGTCCAAAAGTGGCTTCATTAACAACTTGATGTTTATAGAGGTATCTATTTACAGTATCTTTCCATTTATTGTTCAGAAGAGGTTGGCTCAGCTTTCTGCACAATACCTTCATTAGTGAAAGTCAAAATTCAAGAAGTATGTACAACAGCTTATAGAGGCAACTCAACTGAGAATGAGGATTTTTCATGTGGAATGGCTAGGTGGATTATAAGTGGACATGAAAAGAATGCCTGTATTCTCTAATACTTCATAGCCAATAGCTTGTAGTGAAAAATAGTATGTAATTCTGAAGTGAATTGCTATGATTTTAATACTTCATTGTTATGTAATATACCCTATTAATTAAATTCAGGTTCAAGGGAAAGCAGAGGAAAAAAACATTATTCTTTTGTTAATATTTTTGTTTAGTTTAAGGGTTTCCTTCTACTGATTAAGTAACATTTGTTTTGTTCTAAAATGATATTGATACTCTCAAATGCAAATATTCTATACACGCTTATTACATAACTTCTGTTTTAGCTTGTTGTTATTGGAAATGCTTCTTGTTTATGATTCATTTGAGTTCAAAGTATTTTGGCCAAGCCTGATTGTTTCCTTCTAATCTGTGCCTCTGGACTTTGCTCAACGCCAAATGTGTGCATCAACATCCTGATATGTGAAATGAATCTTCTCATCCATTAGATAACAATATAGTGTGATGTATTCTGGTAAAATCCTCTGTTTGAGGGACTGTCCCACACACATGATATTCAAAGAGATTTAAAGATATGTCCCTAAAAAATATGTGAATATAAGTGTGCAAAAATAAGAAATATGTTTCATTTTACACCCAGAACAAAACATCCCCATGAAAATATTCCATTGGAGTGTTCTGACTTGGCTAGGGGCAAGCATTTCTTTCTTTATTTGGCTTGTATGGCAGCCAAAACAGAAAGGACTCAAAGCTTTAGAAAACAATATGACCTCAGAATAGATCTTCAACTCTTATTTATCAATTTACAGTAGACATATGCTTCTAAATCATATAGATTCATGGCAGTTTATAAGCAAGTAAAACCAAAATAAAATAAATTTTCAAAGATAAAACAATCAGGACAATAGCCAGTAAAGCAATAATAATGCAATACTCGTGTTTAATAGCCACACTATACACAGCAGCATACAATGGCAAAGTATGCATTTTTGAAGCATGACATTTACATCTTTAAACATTAAGATCTTTTTTGCTATAGCTGTATTTACAGAAGTTATGACCTGAAAGAAAAATAAGAACCAGAATAGAACAGATCAGATGATAAGTCAGAGAGCCTTTGAATTTCTCACATTGCTAACATGAAAAATTGACAACCATCCTTTAAAAAATGTACTTTTTAAAAATCCTGAAGTCATGGAACAAGATTTTCTGATGAATGAACTTCATCCTTCAATTATTAGTTCATTCTAATTCTATCTGTATCCAACCTCTAGGAATATCAATAATATCAAAATACTTCCGTCAAGATCAGAATAGATGTTTTGAATTCAAAACAGAGCATTTTAAACTTAAAGTGGAGTATTCTGAGATGTCTCAAATGTAAAGTATGTTGTACACCAATATTTCCTTTCTTCTTCTCTATACATACCACAAATATGTACACTTAATTACATTTATTTGTTCTTAGACATTAAAAATCCTTAAAGGAGGATTATGTTATTGCCCCTTTTATCGACAAAGTTAAGACCCTGGGCTTAAAACCTGGTTCTTGAAGTAGGTGGGAAAAAGTTGAGATACATAAATAATACTTCTAAAAAAGCATTTTCAACAGGTTGCAGATATTGTGTGTATGCATCTGTTTTTTTCTTGTATTACAAATGAAGGCAAATATACGTGATAATAGATCCAATCTGGGATCAGTCACTGGGACCAGAGGTTTAGTCTTTCGAGCTTTCGGACTCATGCTGGAACCGATCTTCAGTGATCGCCTCTCTAGCAGAGTGTATGCTTTGGACAATTCTGTCTGTGGTATTTATATGATGCCTGGTTGTGTGTAGCTTTTTAGTTGTTGATTGTGGTGTTGATTGCCAGCTATTAAGTCGTTGACTATTGTTTTTGTCCTCTTTCAGGTTATGTATTTGTTTCATGTTATTCTAGTTGGGAGAAGTATTTTTCATGTGTGGTATTGTCTTTTTAGTCAGGACTAAATTCCAACAAGTTGACAATCAGCCCAGAAATTCCAAGTCTTCATTATTTTCAGTTTTGATGGTTGATTCATTTATATCATATTTGCATTATTCAACATCAAATCTATGCAATGTTTGTTTTTGTTATTTGATTTAATAACATCTAATTAAAATTGAAAGAAATGGAGAACTCCCAGAAATGCTTTTTGGAGTATTTTGTACTAATTTTTAGCTCTTTATAAGTTGTTATAAGTTATAAGAATTGATCTGTTTCATTCTCCAACCCAATCCGGTTTCTCTGGAATTGAAAAAACAGTGAAATTACTCATTTTTCTTCCAAGGCTTTAAGTAAATGTGAAAAGCACTGAATTTCTGCTGGGGATAAAATCATTTTATTCGATGTTTAAAGAGAATGGAAGTGACATTAGTAGTTTTTACTAGTCTCTGTGCTAATAATTGTTCATATTTATGCAAAACCTATTTCTGGCAATTAATAGCATGTAACCTAATGCAGAGGTATTTTTGTTGCCTGGCATATTCTAGGTCTATGGCATTAGTGGTTTATGCTGTATTCTATGTGTATATGCAGTAGCACAGTTAGCTTACATGTATGCTATTTAATAACAAATAGAAGTTAAATTCACTATATATCCATATATGTTTAGTTGACTACACCTCCACAGCTTAACAGCTGCCTCTTAAATTGAGCAATTTATTTCATTTCAGCACTTTTATGCTTACAGGTGGCATGCAAGCAACATATATTGCTCATTATTGCAATGAGCTAATGGCTAAAAAAATAGAACTACATTGTACAGTCCTCTTACTTTTCATTTATTTAAGGCCCCATTACTGTTTTGTATTTGAGAAATCACACACAAGCAAAACTAGCATAATTGTAGTTAGTAACACAATTGGATTGGTTTCTAAAGATTCAAGTCAGATGTTCCTGGCTTATTTGGCGTATTGAACATTCATGTTTATATTATGTAACATTTTGGAGTAGTGGGTAGAATATCTATGAAGCATTGAAACTGAAATGTTTTGTTTGCTTATGGCTAATCCTTTCATCTGAACTTCTATTAGTGCTCTACCTAAAACTGTTAAAGCAAGAGAGCTAGAAATGTGAAGTGTGGAAAGAAGACATTTTCAAGCATTCCAAAGCATCACTTTCTATGTTTCCTTGCTCCGTATTGCTTACATGTAAATGAAATCAAAGAACATACTGTGCTTACATTTCTGTTTGTAATTGTTGTTGTAGGAACAAATCACAGAAATGATCCAGAAAGTTTAATCCCCTCTACCTTTTTGTGATGGAGTTGAAAGTCTGGGTAGATGGAGTCCAACGGGTTGTATGTGGCGTTTCAGACCAGACGACATGTCAGGAAGTTGTCATAGCATTGGCACGGGCCATTGGTAAGTAGTTTTTATGTTCATGATGTCTAAAAGGATTTATGCAGTCCACTCCTAAGCATGTTTACTTAGAAATATCTACCACTGAGGAGGTTTACTTCCAAAATAATTGTATACAGAATTGCAGAATAACCTCCTGTCCAAAATTCTTTTTTAAAAACTGATTAGCAAAATAGTGCTTTATTCATGTCTTATCCATGTTTTAGAGAAGAAGAAATTGTGTAAACAATTGACAGTTGCATAAATACAACAGCTTGAATGATTAGAGGCTTTTTCACAACGTGGTGTAGATTCTGTCAACATTTCTTTCTTCTAAAGCAGTATTTTTCAATCTTGCCGATTTTAAGATATATAGAGTTATACTCTCACAATTATGGCTGCAGAATTCTGGGAGTTGAAGTCCACACATCTTAACATTGCCAAAGTTGAAAAAACACTTTTAGAAATTATTGTTTCCAAGTGTTACAAAATTATTTTAAATACTCTTTTCTGCTAGTTCACCCACTCCATCTTTAACAGATTTTACTAATAAAGGTTTGTTTTCACAAACTAAGAATACCCTTTTATGCTGTTAGATCTTTTTTCTCCTCCCTTATATCGCACCTTCCTTACGTTGCTTGCCCTCATCTGACCATGTGGCATCGGTGGGAGGGGAATCAAAGGGGAAAATTTTGTATTGGCTTACAAGATAGTCTCTAGATTGGAATTCTACTTTGCATTGAATGGGGTGATCATGCCAAGTCTAGGGTAAAACTGGACTTTGGTTGTGTTTATAGCATGCTGGCCAAAATATACCAGAACTGACTGATACTATTCATAATTAACAAGCATGGAAAATGGCATATGGTATGGCTATAAAAAAAGCTGGTCACCAAGACTCCAGCTCCTTTATCTTACTAAAAAGCATTATGTCAAAACCAAGAAAACTATATCAGAGGTCTGTACGCAATGACTGTGATATACAGATAATTACCACTAGGAATGTAAAAGGAATTTAAGATAAAAAACTGAATTCACAATTTTTTTTAAAAAAAAGAATTAAATTAAGAAACGACTGAATAGATCTGCATGAAGATATTCTGATCTTGTGGAATAGAATTAATGAATAGATGCATGGAAGTAAGGATGTAAATTTAGTTATGAATGAAAGGGCAAAATTCACATCAGACAGTACAGTATATGTTGCATCTAGATTGGTTTGGGTAAATATACAGGTAGGAATTCCTGGATTGGTAATAGTTTTTAAGTTATGTTACAAATTAAGGTTGAAGTTTGGGAATGCAACATTTTGAATGAATGCAGTTGGGATAGGATGGGATGGATTTTTTTATTTTCTTTTTGTTAAATAGCATGAATGGAAGTTTGGAAATGAGAGTACAAGTGTGTGTGGGGGGGGGAGGGGAGTGACCAGGAATGAATGAGAATGATTATGAATAACTGGTTGGAAGAAGTACTGTTTGTTTTAAATACATGGTTTAAACATATGTCCTTTCATACAATAAAGGAAAGAATCTTGAAGCAAGATGGAATTGGTTGATTATAATGAAATGTTGAGAGAAGGTGATGAGAGGCTGTTGAATTTGGGACAAACTGCTATTCATACAATCAAAAGAAGATAGGGGGAGGGGAATGGGCATAAAAGGAAAGGAAAATGAGTACAAATACTTCTATAGAACGACTACAAAAATTTAAAAAAGGTGTTGTTAGTGTTTGGGGACAAACCCCCAAGCAGAATGCACAGCAGCAGT